TCCAGGCATCATGGGAATATTTTTGGAAAGTATGTCTTAAGTCATTTGGGTCCCTACAGAGCATTGTACAATATGATAAAAATACATTTTTTTCTTTTAAATGCAAGCAATGCTGTTATTGCTGTAGAGAAATCCATTCCCTTCAGCTAAATCACTCCCACTACACATCTTCAAAAGAGTTGAATACTCCCTGTATTATTTAGATGAGGAAACTGAGAAACTGTGCAGCTTCTCAGAATTAGGGAATGAGTGTTATAGAAATAGCAGCCAAGACTGGGTTTCCTGAGCTTCCAAATATGTTCACCATTCACAGGACTTTTGTCCCAGGGGCAAAATGTTTTTACACACATGGACAAATTTTGAGGCTAAGCACAAGAAAGTGAATGAATATGACTCAGGTTGTCTCAACAGAAGATGTATGAGGCCAGTCACAGAGTTCATCTAACTATGTGTAAGGGAAAAAGGATTCTTCCTTAAGTCTGTATTTTCATCCTTTCTGATTATTGTTTCTTTTTCAAATATATGCCTTTGAAATCAACAGTTTCTGATTTTTTGTTGTTGTTTTAAAAATATTATTTACATACCTGTAATCTTACTTGCAATATCATCTTTATTTCTTTGGATATTTTGCGCATTTCACATGAAGTAGTGAACAGACACAAACATGTCAGCCTCATGGCACAGCCCTATAGCCAGACCTGTACACTTCTGACTTACATCCAACTTTATACTAGAGAAAACATATCATGACAGCATGGGTGAAAACAAGGTAGTTTAAATATCTCTCAGTAATCTGCTCAAGACACAACATAGCACAATACGGTATGTTAAAAACATTCTTTGCATATTAAAAAAAAATTGATACAGTGCCATGGGGAAAATCATCAGTTAAACTGGAGAGGGGACTAGCAGGAGATTTAAGAAACTGGTAGCCTGCAACAGAAAGTGATATGCCCTACTTTACAATGCATCCCCCAGCATTTTGGAAAGCCATGTCACACCAAACCATACTAACAGGAAACAAGAAGAGACTGTGTTCCTGTGGCTTGCTACAATGCTGTTCTAAGTGCACAGAGAAGCAGAGTGCTTAGAAGAATATCACTCCTGCCAACTGAAGACACACACTACTTCCACAGCAGAGACCTACTAGATCAGAATGTCAGATACTGCTTTCTAACCTGAGGTTGCCTATTATTTGCAGAGGATGAAGGACAAGGATATCTTGTGGCTCTTGGTGATTCCTTTGGAGAATAGAGAGGAAAAAAAGTCTGACTGATATTCTCACTGTTCAGATAGTTCTCTTCGATTTCCTCTCAAATACAAAGTGGGTCCTTGATCTGCCTTTCTGCAGCAGTATTTGCCCTGAACCCATAATCTGCTGTAAGAAGTACAGTAGGAACCTGAGGGACTGATTCCACAGTTGTACAAACAGACATTGGCCAAAAGCTGGTGCAATTGCAACCTTAGTCTGCAGCTACACCCTACCTCCCTTCCCCTTAGCAATGCCAATGTAGTAGCATATAACCTACACAGCCACCTATACTGCAAAAAGAAACATAATCTTGCAGACTGCTGATAATTGATTACTTATGTTCAAAATTACTATGGATACTGAGGACTGCATTAAGCAAAGCTAAAAAAAATAATCTGTTTTAAGGAAACTTTAGTATACTTTACATGTGTCATCCTTTAGAATCAGCACAGAAGGCTTTGGTGTGAATGCAGTCCAAAAGGAGTAGAACATCGCTAGATCTGTCTTATTTCTCTCTAAGCAGTGACGTGCCTGCTGTTTCTTAGAAATTACACATCTAACAGAACTGAAGCCACACTGACTACATGGACTGCATACCTTCCTGGATTTCTCATGTTGTTTGGGCAAGCTAACAGCCTGCCTCTGTGTGTGGCAATCCATAAAATGGCCTCACTGGGTTTTCTCTAAGTAAGAGAAATTCATCAAAGCACATCTTAAATTACTTATTATGGCATCATCTTGGGCTAAAATGAGAGCCCACATCAGGAAAGAAGCTGTAAGGGATGGGAAGGCGTGGGAACTAAAAGATGACACATGGTAAGAGATACCATGTGCCTAAAGAGAAACTCTGCTATTTCAGTTTTACAAGATCTAGCCTGCTTGGTGTACCCTAACAAGCATCATGGAGAGCTTGTTTAGGGTGTGTGCAAACCAACTGGGTGATCACAGGGACTACAACAGAACAGCAGCTGACACAATACTGCGACTAAAGAGCATTGCAACTCTAGTTAATTCTGTAGACAGATACAAAACTAATGGTTACTCACAAATAATTTTAGTCTTGTTTTTTTGAAGACAAATAAAGATGCTGGATACACAAATGATGCTCATTTTCAATTAGATTAGAGACCTTACTTCCTCAGATTCTTGATGATTCCTCTCTAGACTTGCTTGGTATTTCCATGGAAAGAGTAAAAGGCTTCCTTTATCAGTTACAAGAATCCTTCCTGTCTGCCAATCCATAATAGGCTCACTCTTGGTTTTCTCTTTGCCATTTCAAAAATAAAGTAATATAAAAACAAAGCAAACAAAAAAATAGCTTACCCCCTGGCAGCAACCAGTGCTAAAAAGCATCCAAGGGAATTTTATTGTACTCTGTACTTGTTCTTTGCAAATTCATATTCTGACAATAAGTAGATTTTAAGATCTCATATCTAAAGCCCCATAATAATTGTCACTAGCTCAACTTAAAAGCTAGAGAAAAAAAAAGGTCTTGATTTACAAGAATCATGTAAGGAACAGTAAATAACACTTTGTTTCTTAACTGCTACCTTTCCATTACTGCTGTTCAAATTCATTAATTAAGGTGTCTGCATTTTGTAGGTAAAATAAAAATATTTCTTTTGACAAAAGTGAGACAAATGTTTACAACATTTCTTATTTCAGGAGATGTTTGAAAAGTCCTGTAATTATCCTGTATTTTTTAACGTCGTAGCTCACTTCTGACCTGGTATTTTATTTCGGCATAGGACTGCAGAGCAAGGGGACCCCGGCTGAGTTTTATAGTACCTGTGGAGCAGGCTGATACTGCCACCTTGGGGAGGACTTTTTCCACATTTGAGGAGCTTAATGCAAGTGCCATATAAATCAGTGTGATTTTTTTTCCCTGTCATATCCTCCCAGGAAGACAACTTTTTAAAATCCTCTGCCTGTGCTCTTGTAAGACCTTCCAGATGCGTTCCAACTCAGACTGTATTACACACATAATAACACTGGAAAGAAATGCCTTTTTTTTTGTGGTGAAGTTTGTTTAGCCAAGTTTTAGGTCTCATTTAAGTAGTGCCTCATTTACACTACTCCTAATTTTACAGCCATCTAACCGTCATAAAACCCCAGTTCTGCATCCAGCTGGGCAAGCTGTATTTTGTATACAACACTCCTCTGCTTCTGGGATTCTAGTTCTCTTGGTAGTCTAAATCCTTGTCCACACCAACTTAAATTATCTCCTTGGCAGTCTACTAGCTCAGTTGAATGTGACTGCTAGGACATATACCACTTCAGATGTCATGAGGGACATTATTGTTGTAAGGTATTCTTCCCAAGAATGCCAAGGCACTGGAAGGATTTTAAAAAGGTTTATTTCAGATGCAAGGACCACTTCTTAATGATGCTGCACACACCAGGCCCCCAGTGGAAAAAGGCAATGCCCCGCCTTCTCCAAGGCTTTTTGTATCTTCTCTCTCTCCTCCCCCATTCTCTCCAGCCTGAGGAGGCCTTTTGCACGTGTGTAAACATGTTATCTCTCTGCATACCAGGGAGATAGCTTGCTCACAGCTTCTCCCTGCAACTTTCTCTGAAAGAAGGAAAAAACGCCCATCTAACCCATTTGAGAAGGCATTTTACAGTCTTCCTAAGTGAAATTGAGTTCTAACTTTCTGTTACAAATTCTTCTGAAATTGTACCTATCCCTAAAATTGTGCATAGGAACAGTCCAATGAAAAGTACAGAGCTAGACTGACAATTTAACCAAAGTCAAGACTTACAGGCAAATTAAAGGAAGCATGTGGATTTTATCTCACAATATCCAGTTTTATGAGACTGATCTACCCTTTTGCTTCACTATTGAGTCTCCCCTCATCCAGTCTTGAGTTTGTATTCACTAGCCATACACTTCATATATAAATGTGCCTTAAGACAAAAAGGCTGTGCACAGCATAGAGCTGTAAGGTTTTTCACACTGGAAACTATCAGTAGTTGCCTCAAGTACACTTACAATACAAGAAAAGATTTAATGTCTGACCTATCACCAGAATAGGCAGGTGCAAGATCAGAGCGCTGTCTGAAAGCAACTTGTCTACATGCTCCTAAAAACATACAGCAAAAAAAAATTTACACAGCCATCTATTTATTTTCTTACCAGTTATTTACCCACTTGTAGGATATTGTCTAAAAAGCAAGTGATAGGTCCTTTCTGGACAATCTTTTTCTCTCTGGCAAACGCAGCATGGCAAATAACAATACTTGCAAGAGGAATGTATTAGGCCATCCAGCCAACAGCTAATGCACATGACTGGCAGTTGTGCAAGCCCTCAGTTTTCTTCCTGATTCACAAATAACTTCTGTATCTTAATACATTTTTTATTATTTTAATCCATCTTTGTTAGGCAAACATCTTTATGTCTGCAAATTATTTACCTTGTGCTATGAAAATATTGCTATTATTAATTCATTGCAATAATAAGAGAGAGTGCATACAACTCTTTACATTCAGAACACGCAATACAAAGTAATTCCACCACCTCCATTATCACTTGCACATTTAAACGCTGGTGGAATTCAAGCAACTTTCAAAAATATCATCATACAATCACTAAAGTAACTGCAAAAACGGTATCTGTAGCTAAGTTGCAAAAATTCAACAGTGCCAATTACTGACCAAATATATCTAATTGATTGAGGATCTGTTAGTAATAGATTAACCAGATTCATGTGTACGTAACAGTCACAGCATGGTACATTGCTGCTGTTAGTTTCAAAGTTCATATATGGACTTCTTTTTACACTGCACATGTGGTTTATGAATGAAGTCTGATTGCAAGAAGAATTTAAGTGAAAATAAGGTAAGTGACACAATATGAAAATTTAAGTATTTAAGGGTAGGCTGCTTACAGGAAAAAAGAATAAATATTTGATTGTGATTCAAAAAAGGAATGCACAAATGCATGTCCACCAAGTCATATTATTACGCTACAGAAAAAGTATACAATGCACATCTAAACTGATTAATAACTGAAGATAACCATTTCATAAGGTGTCTTTTTTAAAAGGAAATATATCATTGAAAAATCCACAAAAATCGCACTGTGAATTCAGTAAGGAAGATTATCATGTACAGTATTCAATGTCGCCTGTAACTAAATTAGCATATTACTAGCTCTTGCATGTTTGGCATTGTACTGAACTTATTTCAAAAGTTTGATTTAGGCATGGCTTTAATTTGAGGGAGAAAGCTTAAATTGCACAGCAAGAATCTAAATGAATTAATCACAGGAAATCCCAGTCTAAAATTATCCGTGATTTCTCTATGAACACCTAAAAATAGAATCTTAATTAAAAAATTCTTTCTGAAGTTCGGATGTCACTGAAAACTTAAAATGAACTACCAAGTGCCACTATGGTTTTACCTTTTGAAACATGTCTGAATTAACTTAAATAGTCAGTATTCCTGTTAGTCGATCAATATGCACCAAGCACCCTTCAGATACCGGACTACAGAAAAGTACAAAGAGAATGAGAGGTCTTATTTATGAACAATTACAGTAACCGGAAATTATACCCAGCCAGCTCTTCATCCACCTGTCTATGTCTTCATTTTCCACTGTGTTATTAAGTCTATGTGGGATACATTTTCAAAATCTCATTTTCATATGGGATTAGAAGCTGCAGCATTGGCTATTTCAGCTCTTCTCTTTTTTTAGTGACATACTTATATTTATCTGCATCAGAAAGCCCTTTCAGATTAGTCTATTTCAACTTCAGTGGTAGCTGATGAAAGACATATTCTGATGAAAGCTGTTCTCCGCTCTGAAGAAGTGCTCCTTTAAACTCTACTTCTCCCTGATTATCCATTTTTTTTCCCAAAACAAGTAAATATTGACATCCTGAAATGTAGTCACTTAATAACAGCAGCACCTATTTCTTACCATTCTCTTCTTCCTCCCCTAGTTTTCCTCCTTTTCCTAATCTATTACTCTCTCTGCATGGTAACACTTTTCCACAGTTGTTTCCCAATTCCTCCCTTCTCTGTTGCCTCTCCTTAGCTCTGTCTGCTTTGCTTGTTCCTGAATCTCTTCTCACATCAGATTCTTTCCTAGCTCTTCAGTTTCTGTCAGTGTAGGAGTGAAGCCTGTTAGGTTGCTTTTCTACCCCTGACACCTTTCACAGGATCTTCTTATTTCTCAGCAGCAGACCGGGAAAGACAGCAAAGGTCCATCCTTTGATCAGACAGAGGTGTATGTCCTGTACTAAATATTATTCTACACCACAATCCTGAAAAAATTTCAGGCAGAGAATAGCACTCAAAAGACAATGAATTTTGAAATTTTTGTGGGAGTTTTTTGCTTGTTTGTTTGGGTTTTTTTTTAAGTTATCTTAAACACCTTATTTGTACTTCACTTAGTGACAGGTTTGTGGATAAAAGAAAGCATAGACAATGGCAGACACCAATGAGATGACAATCAACCTTGTTGTCCTTGGAAAAACTCAGACTGGCAAGAGTGCTTCTGGGAACAGCCTGCTGGGCAGCTCAGACTTTGAGAGCCGTCGCTCCCCAAGCTCTGTGACTACATGCTGTAGCCTCGGACGCAGCTGCCGCATTTTGGGGATTATGCGAAGAAATGGCTGCAAGCTGGCTCTCCACGTTCGAGTACTTGACACTCCAAGCTACCCTCACAGTGCTCTGAGCAAGGAGCAGGTGAGAGACATGGTGGGATCAGCCCTGGCTCACCACTTCGGGGAGGAAGGCCTGCACCTGGCTCTCTTGGTCCTGCGGGCTGACTTGCCTCTGTGTCCGGATGAGAGTAATGATGCAGTTCAGTTCATCCAGGTAACAAAAACAAATAGAAGTCTCTGCCCTAATGGCAACTCTTTTATCTTCAGGGGACAATAGCTATGGAAGAGTTGACTGCAAAGGTAAAATAAAGAAGTGCAGATGAAAACTGGAACACTTCACAGTGCAGCAGTTGAAACACACCATTCCCAACTGCAACACTGTAGCTACACTTCCTGCAATAAACCTGAGAAAAGAGAGGCAAGAACTGCTCTCTTTTGTAAGTGGGCTTGGCACAAAGGAATTTAGGAACCAAATTACCTATCAAAGTAAGCTGTTCTCTCAGAATTAGTTCGTGCTTTATCATGACAGATCTAGCTTGCTCAAGAGAAATGTTGTTTAAAGCAAGCAAAAGTCAGTTACTGCACTCTCCAAAGCACCAGAGCAGAGCACAATGGGTCCAAAATCATACAGAAAATCTGACCTGGGACAAGGATGATCAGCTCAATCCTGCACTGTTACCACTGTATAAATACTGCTGTATTTATTTAAGAGAAAATAACTAGGGAGCTACCATAAATTTACTCGGGCTAAAGGAAATTAATAGCATAACTGACTTGAAATAAATATTTTTTTTTGCAAGTAGTTAAGGTATGTAGGGAGACACATGCATACATATCTTTGAAGAGAAGAAAAATGGCCAGCAGATATTAATTTGCCTAACTGATCAAATGAACCAGGTTCATATGACTTACTAAGAAAAAAAGGGTTTCAGTTACTGCCAAAGTCTGCACATTACACCTTGCATCTATCTTATACTAATGAATTTTCTAAAAATCTATGACCAGGAGGGACTTCTCAGTCCATCAAGTCTTTTGCATCTGCTGTAACTGATATTATCTACATATACAATAGACATGTAGATAAAAACACGCTGGTAAGTAAATATATAAATGAAAATATAGCTTTCAAAATGTGTTTGATTTGCTTTCCTCTCTATGGTAGGCTACTCACTTTTTCAGTAGTTTGACAGTTGATTCAAATTTCAACATATTTTTATTCTTCTTTCTTCTAGGCCTTCTTTAGGCACTGGAAGTAAGTGCACATTGCTGGGTCATGTCAAACTTCTCATCCACCAAAACCCTCACATCCTCCTCAGGGCTGTTCTCAATCCATTCTCCACCCAGCCTGTATTTGTGCTTGGGTTTGCCCTGCCCCAGGTGCAGGACCCCTGTTGAACTTTATGAGTTTTCCTTGTTGGTGAAAACAATGTCCAGCATAACTATGTCCTCATCTCATTGGCTCCTCTATCACTTGGAGAAGGAAGTAACCATTAATGCATTCCAGGAACCTCCTGGATTGCTTATGCTCTGCTGTGTTGTCCCTCCAACAGATAGTGGAGAGGTTGAAGTCCTCTGTGAGGACCAGGGCTTGTGAACAGGGACTGCTCGTCTCTGTCTACAGAAGACCTCATCCACTCAGTGTTCCTGGTCAGGTAGCTTGTAGTAGACCCCCACTATAATGTCACCTAACACTTGTACTCTCTTTAATCCTGACCCATGAGCTCTCAGTTGGCTCCTCAACCATCCTCAGGCAGAGCTCCATGCACTCCAGCTGGTCACTGACCCTGTCTTCATCTCCTCTATGCCTGTCCTTCCTAAAGAGCCTGTAGCCTTTCATTCCAAAGCTCCAGTCACAGGAGCCAAGTCACTGCATCTCTGTAACACCAAAAAGATGATGGTACTGCAGGTGTGCACAGATGCAACACTTCTGTTTCATGATCAAAACAGACTGAGCCTCTACAGTGGTTGGTTCCTGCAATAACTGCTGTGATTTCATCAACCACAAAAATAAAGGGCAGGAAAGGTGCCTGGTTGCTGGGAATATGAACATTAACAGTTTTGTTTCAGTGTGCCATTCGATGGAGACACAAGCATGAAGACCACCTTTAGAAATCAGGAGCTTTTACCATGATTCTCTGCAAATTAGGGGTGGCATACAAATGAAGGCAGCATATCAGTAAAAGACTACTAGAATTTAAACTTGCCTGGTATTTTTTTCCCAATAACAGCCTAATGAATTGAAAGTGGTAGATACTAATTTCAGAACAAACATTATAATTGATTTTGAGTCCTCAGCAAATCAAAGTACTATCCTCTCTTTCTGAAACTGATAATCCAAGACTTCCTTAAGCAGCCTATGGCACAATTTTGTAGATGTGTGTAATATTTTTCATCCTCAATGTCTAAAACAGATTAATTTATCAAAACACCAGGCTTTTTTAACTCCCCACCTATCTTGGAAGTAGAAAGATATCCTTTAGAGCAGTTTTATACACCTTGGTATTTAGGTTACAGTTAATTAAGATAATTGAAAAGTGGACTTTATTAACAAATTAGGTTTCTCATCACATAGGAGATAACATGATCGCACTGAAGTTGTAATTTCATTTACATCTGTAAATTAAAGCCCAATCTCTTACTCATATTAAAATTTTCTGTACTCATTGAAAGAAAAACAGTTTGTTCTCTCCATTCGCCTTCATCAGATAAACCACCAAAGTTGAAGACAAACTCTCTTGCCCATTATTTAAGTTGATGCATTTGATTTGTGTTTTTCCTGAATCGCTGGGTCACAGCTAGAACTGCAGTTGGTGTTACACAGAAATTCATCATTTATTTTTTCAACAAAAGGTGATTTGGTGATTTTATAAAAAATTTTTCGAAGGGCTGTAAAACTTACAGAAATATGGATATGTGGCAACTACCGATTTAAAACTAATGTGTGACATAGCTAAAAAACCATTTTTCCTTATTTACATGAACATTTTATAACTGGAGAAATTCTATTAACATCTGTACTTAGAGAAGAGAGAACTGCTAGTACTGCATGACCACATATTTCCACAGAAAGTGAATGCCAATGTCTTGGAATGGTGAAAAAAACCCAGATATTTCAGCAACTCAGATAGCACGAACTGGATTACTGCCAGGAAAAAAAGAAAAAACAAAAAACCAAAACCATGTAACAGTCTGCTAATGTACTAAGTATATGAAATGGGAGTGGGGAAAAGGAACAAGAAGAGATAACCATTTAAGATTTGGTTTTCATTACAGGAACTTCTGGGTCCCACATGGAAGGATTTCACTGCAGTTTTACTTACTCATGCAGACAAGGCAGAAGAAGCTGGATGCAGTGAAGAAACATACTTGCACAGTGCCTCAAGTACTCTGTTGTCACTTTTGAGCTCAGTACAGCATAAATACATTTTCCTAGACAACCAGAAGAGCATAATCAAAGAGGAAAGAACCATTGTCTTAAGAAAGCTCTTGAATTTTATAAGACAAAATAATTATCAAGTGCTTTTACTTAAAAACAGCAAGGAATAAAATAAGCTTTCAGGTGCTCATTTGTCTATTTTCTATGGTAGATAACATTTAATAGAAATAAAAAAGTAGAAGCCATCAGCTGGAAAACTCCACATCCAAATACCTTTGAACATACAATTAGAAATATCTCTTTAAATTACCAAACTACTTGCCTTTCATATAATACCTTACACTACTGCATCCAGAATCCTAGCTTCAACCACAAAATCAGAAAAAGTTAGTGCTCTAAAATCACGCCCTTGATATGTATGTAGTCACAAATGAGATTTTGTACTACATCAGACTGTATATTCCAGCTCAAATAGAATATACATCTGGAAGATGAAAAAAAAACAAAACAAAACAAAACTACAAAATGAACATGAGTTTAGACTGTAAGGGAGCCTCTTTTGCTATTATTCAAGCTTTCAAGAGTTCCTCTGAATTCCAGATCTTCCTCTGAACTTCTATCTCTATAAAGAGCTCTCTGGTATGAAAAGCTAAGATTTATCTCCTGTAAAAGTATTTCCTTACCACGATTCAAGATTAGTTATAACTGAGTTTTTGAACTTCAAGGATTTTGTTTAATAAGCCACTATTGAATATGTAGTTTACAAGGCAGATAAAATGGCTTCCATGTGCTTAATGCTATTCAGCACATTTAAAAGAACTAATTACTATTGCTTATTCCCAGATGCATAAAAAATGAACAGTTTACAGGCACATACAAAACTCATTTGAAAAGGAAATCTGTTCATCTTCTCTTTTACACATGTTCCTTTTAATTTTATATCATTGTCATTTTGTTTTCTCTCCATTTATTGGATGAAGTTCAAAGCCTGAAAAATTCAGAGAGGTTAATATTTTTTTATTTCAGTAGTTAAAATAGCACTTACTGCTTCAATGGTTAGACAGTAACCATTTCATTAAATATCATATGCCAAAATATCTGAAATATCTCTAAATAGCTACTTAAAAGGGTTACTGTAAATTGACCCAAAATGTTTATTTTCATATTTTTAAAAGTCAGGAATCAAAAGAAGTAATTTGAGGCTATTACCCTAGCAACATGACTATTTGTACAACATTACTACGGAATATCTAGAACAAGCAGCAATCACAGGTATTGAGGCCATGTTGCTGAGAACACAGCTGTGTTGGGCAGGGCACATCTCAAGGTTGAAGGACCACCACCTCCCTAAGATCTTGCTTTATGGTGAACTTGCCACCGGCTGCCACATGAGAGGAGCCCCAAAGAGGAGATACAAGGACTCCCTGAAACAACATCTCAGCCTTGGCCATATTGATCACCATAACTGGTCTACTCTGGCCTCCAATTGGGAGGTCTGGAGACTCACTATCTATAATGCTGCTGATGCCTTTGAGAAAGCACGCAGGATCACCCTTGAGGAGAAAAGACAACGCAGAAAGAATCGTGCCTTGCAGAATGTACCACCTAAGGAGTCTTTCTGCTGTGCCTTTTACAACCGGATGTGTCTATCTCATATTGGCCTCATTGGCCACCAACGTACTTGCAACAAACATGGGTAGTGCCCCTCCCAAATCTTCCTTCACAAAGCCCAGCCATGATGATGACTATGGAAGAATTCTAATTGTAAAAACTGAAGAAGCTCTTTCTGTTAAAACCAAAGCATCTTTTCTATAAAGTAGCATTGCATAAAAAACGCGTTAAAACAAAACAAAACAAAACAAAAAAAAATCAATTAATTTTATACCTGTTTGGGCACTGGAAATGGATTTTTTTTTTTTTTTGGTATTGGACTAGTTCCAGCAATCTATTCGTGATTCATTATTTCTTAGTTCTACCTATCATTTGGGATGAAACATCCAGGTGGACTAGATAAAGAACCATTTTAGCAAATCAGCAGCTTTGATCTTAATGAAATTGCAACAGTTTAGTTGAGGGACATGAAAGTATGTCCACTTGCAAATCTTAGGGCATGAAGCATCATGGTTTAATCTTCCTGTTACAAGTGTCTGCAGACTATGGTGATAACACAGGCAAGAATGAAGGTGTAAAGGCTTATAATGTATATGAAAACTGCTTGGAAGAAAAGGATAAAAACTATTACAAGGTGACTAGAAGAATAGGGACAATTGTGGTCTTCACTAACCTACTGCCAGTACTGCAATTAGCACACAAGGAATATGGCAGAAGTTTTTCCTTAATGAGATGCTCTTGCTCCATAAATCCTCTGCACCTTTAAGTTGTCCAGAAAATATACTTGTCTGCCTGTAGTCCTACCACAAACAAGCCTTGGCAATTAAGTTACAATCACTGAGTGGTTAATAACTATTGACAACACATAACCTCAAGGACAGTAAAAATGGTAAATAAGTCAATGGTCAAATTGTTAGAGGAATAACACATTCTAGATCTCTGGAAAAGGAGTCAAACGAAAAGGGTCTTAGCCATGCACTTCATGTTTTTTATTGTGCTTGCATCACTTTCCATTTCAGCAACTGAAAAAGTTTCTAAAAACCATTTATTTATTTAATTCCGCTGTTTGCCATGGTCTCTGCCCTGCAGACTCCTTTCCCTTTCACTTCAAACGGAACTCCTTTGTATGTAGCAACACACTGGTCATTGGTATGAAGATCGGGTTGGATTTGCTCCCAAATCTTCTTCTTGGGATTAAGCTCCTTCTCAGGATCTCCTGTTTAAAAATAAAGAATAATCTAATAGCACACAACTCAGTCTAAGAGCTCTACATATGCACACATCTCTGACAGCCCACATAACATCAATGCACACACTTTTAAGGGGGGGAATATTACTTTTGGTTCTCAAAATGAAAACTTTAATTGCAATCAGGAATTGTCTAGGAAATGTCACCAGAACTTTCTCAAAATGTTCATCTTTCAGGGAAAAAAAGGTTGTAACAGACCACAAACACTATCAAAAGGAAGAAATTAAGCCATTGTTAGTTATTAGTTTACCATACTTACTATAGACCAAAATAATTCCTAAGAATTAAGTAGATGAGGACCACAGAAATATACTACTCACCAAGACACAGGTTTGTCAGCATCTTAAGTTTAGGAAATAATGACTTTTTTATAAGCAATTAGGTGAATTTAGTAGATGCCCTTACAGTGGAGAAATACTGAACTTTAACAAGAATAGTCCTGGTGTAGAATAGTGACCTATAATTTTAGCCTCAAGTTTCAACACAGTTCTGCTATTTTTTGTACTATTTAATGACAAGTTCTGGTTCCTAAAATAACCAAAGCAGTAAAAGCTAGCTAAGGTTTCAGGAATTATACCCTCAGTCTCTATAAGCCTCAGCTTCCTGTTCTCATGCATACACCAGGATAAGCCACCTATGCCATAGAGGTATTGACAGTCTAAGTACATCAGCAAATCTGACTATTTAAGGATCTATAATGGTCACAAAATGCAGGTTTCTTTTATTAATGTTTGGAAATACTGTCAACAAACTAGATAGCATAGTGAAGTATTAAATATTTTTCCTATTTTTAAATATGCATGAAATGCAAAGTGTAGAAATGAAACAACTAAGCTAAATAAGCTTTCTTGCTGCAAAGATACTGCATAAATTGCCATCTGCTGACATAATTTAAAGCAAGACAGTCAATTCGCTGTGTTGTTATTTTCTGTTCAAAGGTCAAGTAAATTTAATATCTTAATTCTAATATAACATAGATTCCATTAAAGTATTATTCATTAATCATAATGATTAATGATTCCTTAATCATAATGCTGTTGGGTGCTTTTGACTTCTTGTGTGTCACACAGGCAAGACAAACAACAAATCCCACAAGAATTGTTTTAAACATAATTACAGCAAATTTAAATGTTGAGAGGGATCCCATGCTATTTCATTGTTGTTACACTATATATTTTTAATTGCTTGGAGTGGCATATTGGCACCATTCTACCTAAACTATAAAAATCTAAAGTTCTGGAACAAGCAAGAATCAAAACCCAAATCCTAGTCATCAGATCCTCTCTGACATCCTCTCGGAGGAAGAGCTCTCCAAGTGAGCAGAACATCTCACATTCCACTTCACAGTGTTCCCAAAGGTTCAGGAAGAAAAGCTACAAGGCTCCAGGGATTTCAACATACCTGTTCCTAGAAGTTGGTTGAAATTCATTGTTGCCTGGTGTATTCCTGACTGACTGGCCAACAAGTGGTTAAGTAAACTACTCTCACTCCAGCCTGCCTTATGCCTTATTGGCATTCTCCTTTAAATGTTTTTAATGGCTCAGTCTACTCGTGCACTTGCAAAATGCTTACAAAAACTGTGTCATTTCTTCCTGTAGATCGGTCTAACTTCTGTAGTTTCTCTATCTGTAATTTAGTAAGAGAAGCAGACCAGGCCAGATTTTTCTGTGAAGGAAGCTAGCATTACCAGAGCAGCATTCAATAATGCAGTCAAGTTATTTCACTACCAGAGGGCACTTAACATTAACAATTATCTCTACGTAACATTTATAATTAATATTAAAACTGAAGAAATTGAAATAAATTACTTAAATAATGACACTATTAAATAAAAATTATTAAATAAAAATTATTAAACACTTAGGGCTAATTGTGCATTTTCACAAAAATAAAAATCCTGCTCAATGCTCAAGTTCATGAACAAAGCAGACGTGGGTTTAGATCAAAGTGAATGCATACAAAATCATTAAACAGAATGCTAAGTGATCCATTGTGCATTTTCTTTCCCCTCTTCAAATATAAAAAAAGCACATGGGTTTTTTTTCATTAAGAAAACCCCCTGACTTTTATTATAAAAAACACGCTTTGGATGTTAATAAATTTCTTTGGAATCCTGCATCAAGCTCCCTTGGGATCTGTGGTGAACTCATATTAGATTAGCAAAGGCACCAATTTTAAATACTACCAGAGCTTTAGGCTGTGCATTTTCCTATGCCTTCTCCTCACTGCATTCCTTCTTCCCAGAAAACATTTCTTTAGAAGGGTTTCTATAAATAAAATAAATTGAAGCTTTTAATAGCTTTATTAGCTTCCCACGCTGTTTACATAAAAAGGCCAAATAAGAGGTCTCAAATTTTATTAAACATGTCATTCAGTCTAGCAGTTTCAATATTATGAATTAAATTCTCATAATAAGCAAGAAACCTCTCCACTTTGTAACAGCTCAAAAACTACTGAAGGAATATATCTCAGCACAAGAAGGGGCAAAAGGACACAGGGATGTGTGAATTTATGAAAAATTAATGCCACTTACCTCACTGTGGACTATAACTATGAAAGTCATGGAAAACATCCATGCACCAAAGCTTTGATTAAAGAAACCTGCTAACTACAGGCTAACCATCGCACTCCAGTTTTACCACTTTTTTTCTTTTTTAAAGAGACAGTAATTAACTAAATTGCCAGTGATTCTTAGACCAGAATGATAATTTAATTATATAACTTAAAGCATTTTTGGTTCCTCTGGCATCAAAGCATCAATTATACTGCTATCAGAAATAAGATTTCACAGGTAGCTTTGAAATATACAAGCATTATTGTTGTCTTATGGTAATTACCGAATAGGAGGTTATAGTATCTACAGACATACAATGGAATCATTTTTCTGTGGTTTAAAAAAATCAAACCTTTTCTGCTAAAGGTGAATAAAAGTTTGAGAAAGCTCTTAATGCAAAAAAAACAGATCTTGAAGATTCATGTACTAGAGCATGAAACAGTGTTAAAGTTCCACTGAGGGTAAAGACATCAAATAAACAACAAAAAAAGAACACTCCTCCAGGCAACAGCATTGCTTATCAAATCACTCCTCTATAACACTCACAATGGTTTTAGGAAAACTCTCCAGTTGCTGCAGGAAAGTTTAATCAGTTTGCAACAAGATACCATTTGTTTACTTTGACTAAAATGGCCAAAGCAAATTAGTCTGTATCTCATATGAATATTTTGTACGGTGGAGAGACAAGGGTTAAAAATAACTTGATTCCAAGCTGCTTGATAGACAGCTGTGTGTGTGTTTTAGAGTTGCTGTAATTGTTGCTGCTGGTGCTTCTGTTACTTCATAGGCTTTCATACTTTGAAATAAAATAAGACCCATCTGTTCTTTCAAGTTCGAGTACTCAAACTAAATCTTTATGCTTTAAAATTACTCTTCTAAAAATATTTGGTTGTTA